GTTCCTGCACGTTTCTTCAGTCATAAGAACGATGTGCTCAGCTATTCCATAGCATTTAAAAATTCGCGGCATCCTTTGATGAAGTGCTGAATCAAATGCAGCCTGGAAACAAGAAACTGGCAAACCAAAGCAACTGGAATCGTCTATGTCACATAATGTGATTCTTTGCAGCGTAGAAATTAGGTCAGGGCTCGAATAGCACTTCCGGTAGCGTGCCTGATTTGGCACGAGTCTACGATCAACCGTTTGCCTCAACTTTTCTAGGATGATTCAAGAAAGCGGATTCCCTTAAGTAAACAGTATGATAATACCACAAACGTTAGAGCCGTCTACCTTTAAATATGGTGACAATTATACCAAGTTTAATCAAGCCATCCTCCAGGATGTCCAGAGGTAGAATATATTCATCGATAAACATATGCACTACCCTATGTGCTATACGAAAGAGCCGCATATCAAACGCAGACTATTTAAGAAGAGAAATGATTCTTGGAGCTGCCATTAGTCTAAATGCACTGAATGAAAAAAAAAACAATGGTCAGTAAATCCTTCGGTAGGGTAGTCGACAGGTAACTGGTGAGCAATCATGGCCTTGATTCCCGGTCGGATTCTTTGAAATATATATATACTTCTCCATATTCACATATATATATATATATGTGAATATGGAGAAGTACGCGGAAAAGAAGCAAGGAACCACAGACTATGTTTGTCACGTGTCAGGAGACGTTGTCTTCGATAAATAATACTTCTGACTACTGGAACAGAAAGGAATAACAATACTAAAAAAGGCAGTAAAGTGGCCTAATTATGGAACTACGACTACAACTCGGTGGCATGATGATAATGGACAGAGTTCAGAAAAGGAAGTGTGGAGGCCGTTGTTTGGGCCGCACATTCTACGAGTAGTGATATGACAATTCCAATGGTCCGGACAAACGACCAGAATGTCACAATAAAAACTCACATGACAAAACACAGGGAAGATGACCAGGGTCCGATCGCTGACAACGGTCATACGGAAGACGTGGCACTAACTCTCCTTGGGATCCAGATCACCACGTTGACCATTTGCGGTGAACCTGGATAACTGAAATGCTTGCTGAAGCAGTTGCTGCCAAAAACGCTGAAAGAAATTGCGTGCTCTCGAAATGAAAGAATATCTTGTAATAGGATAAGCCAAAATCTTCCACAATGTTAGTTATGCAACAAAGTATGCGATATTTCAGCTATATCCGAAGAATTCACAGGAGAATATCATTATTACCGACGGTATCGAAAGCTTGTAGCTTGCTAGCAAACGCATAAAAACAGTTTATTTTTAATATACTGTACCAGACCAGTACTTTGCCATATATGTACAGAAAGAAACTAACACGCATTTCAACAAGGGCTAGCAATGTACGGTTTTTATCGCATTACTGCCTACATCTCAAACATCGGTGCTAAAGTATTCGATAAACAATCATGCATGCCTAACCACTTTATGTCATCATTACGAATGAACTTTGCAACCTGATGGCAAGATTGACGGTGACCTAGGATATTTCTTGCAGTCGTGTTTGGAATTTCTTCCGGTATTTTATCGGTCTTATCATCTAGTCTCTGATTAACTGATGTCTAACTTTAGGGCACCGGAAATCACTTCACTTCATTGCACCCTTTTTACATAAAAGGTGCTGATCGCTTTCGCCTCGTCATGAGATTGTCATAAGACACTGTGACTCTTTTCTAAGGAAGGAACTTGTCGAGTACGAATGCCCTAACGGTCTCGGTGCTGCCTGCGGCGACTATTTATTTGTTGCAGCTAACTTTTATATCTGAAGGTTGTTTCGGTATAGGCAATCCGGGCAGGTAATAAGAACATACACACTGAGGCTCAGTAATAATCAGTAAAGCCGTACCATTGCGGGCATGGTCTGACACGCAAATCAGTTTCACTCTACAAAGATATCGACGGATTACACTCTGTACGGCAGCGTAACCGCGAACTACAAATATCATCTGTATACATTACTGTGTACGTGATTCTAAGACACCATGAATATTATGTGATTATTTGAAATGCGGAACTTTGTAACATCTGCTAATAAAACATATTTCTAAATTTCTATAGAACCATAATGAATTTGACCTTAGTTATAGATGAAAGAGGAAACCTTTCTATACATTCTTCTACTACAGTGTCTCATCATTTATCTTTTAGAGATGAAAAAACGTAAAACTATTGAATCGTGAGTCCTGAAAATATTTTGTAGTTCACCATCGTCCCTTCTGCATAAAAATATGTCATAAACCGTGAATGATAGAAATGGGATATGCAGAACAGATTTTAGACTGAAGAAACTTACAGATGAGAGAGGAAAAATGAGCTCTGGAAATGAATAACTACGACCAGTAATCCAATAAACTGACCGGTAGGTCAAACGGTTAGAGAATGAGTCAGTAACCGTCTTAACCTTTCATTTGACTGGTTTTTAAGTCTGCCCATCCGTCTACGAAGCAGTCATTTGTCTGCCTATCAATCAATCAGTTTAGCTATCAGTCAGTTAATGAGTAGTCAGTGTTTAAGTTAGTCGGCCAATTGTTCAACGATTTAATCACTGGTCAGTCAGTAATTCAGTCCGTCACGAGTACTACTACAAGTGCAACAAAATAATGACTACAAGTTTGAGTAGTTAACAGCGTATATAATGCCTACAGCAACTAATACAGTATCGGCCCATAGCATCAAA